AGACAGTGGAGTTTATTTGATCCTATAAGACACGCTTCTTCTACTTCTTTTTCTTTTGTTAAAATTATGTGCCTAAACATCATTTTGAAAACACTTGCTTTTAAAGAGTCATCCACACCTTTAGGTAATAGGTTACTGAAATATCCAAGACCTAGAATTTGGTGTCTCTGAATTCTCATGCTCCAATATGGGCATGTGATTCCTGACAACTGTTTCCTTAGATTTCTCCTTGTAGGTGGTTATAAATCAGGTTTATGAAGAGGAAACTCTCTTGAATTGTGCATTTCTAATAGATTTATGATAAATCCATCAAATTGGAGGTTCCATATGGTAGAAATGCAGTAAAGGTAACAGGACAATGTCATGTAAACATTAAATACAGTGTCTTCCACCTTCATAAATCCTCAATGCTCATGATTAAATGCTGCCGGTTATAAATTATGCAACCAAATTCTAGAAACAACCACAACTGAAATAAGATACCAGTGGAAGCCATAAATTGTCTATAGTTTTTCTTCACAGAAAACTCTTGTGTCATTATTAGGGGATAATTTTTGAGTTCCTATTTTCCTCAACAATTATTTTTTCTCACTTCATTTAGCTTCCGACAATAAGCTCTAGTCCTGGTTAAAAAGTAATAATCCTAGACAATAATCTGTCATTTTATATGGTAAAGTACCTTTTGATTTGCAGGTTTATTTTAAAATTTTCTTAATATGTATAGCTTAAGTCTCTAAGATGTCGCCCTTTTTAGAGTCATATATCAGAAGTTTCTACAACAGTTCAACTTCTCACAGGTATTTACAATCAAATTATTTTATTACACAAGGCAACAATTAAACATTTGGCCCTCAGCTATAAACAATTACTATATAAAATGACATTCATGGATTTTTCTTAAATAGTCATGTATTCCTAATGACCTCTGTTAACATAAGTGAGATTGATGTATGTGTATTTTGTATGTATCCGTAAGCAATTATATTCCCAAATATCAAAAGAGAGAGTTTACCTAGAGAATACACTAGCCTTGTTTGATATCATGTGGCCACCTGCAATGACACGTTTAATGTATTTGTTTTTCTGCAATTGTCATTTTATTTCTGTTCCAATTTATTTCTAGAGAAAGGTGTTCACAGCAAGAAGCAGGTAAGGATCTGGATAATTTGTTTTTTAGAGATCTCAGGTGTCCAATTCTAATAAATTGATATTGATGTTGGAAGTAGCAGAAAGGTACAATAAGACAGGAGAGATACAACCAATAGGCCAGGGCTTGAATCCTGGTTCCGCCCATTTCTAGTTGAATGACCTTGGACAATTTACTTTTTTCAGCATTAGTTTTCAAATTTGAAAAATATTGATAGTTATAGGACTATTATGATTATTAAATGAAGTGTGTATTTAAAGACAAAGCATATACAGCATACTCTTTACATATTGATTTCTCTATTGCCTTCCATACTTCTTTCCTAGAAAGGCCCAGGAGCCTTTTTTGTGACTTTCCCTTTTTGGAATATCTATTCTTAATTGTCTCAAGTTTAGGTATACATTTTCCTTTCACTAGATCCCTCTTTTCTACAAATGACAACCATGGGAGAAGCTCACAGCTGTTTTACTCACATCCAGAAATAAGTCAACTGGTCCAACTTGCAAGGATACCTAACAGCTGTATCCAGCCTTTCTAAGAGGTCAGAACTAAAGCCGAGTGGTAAGGTTTCAAGGGCAAAGCTCAAGATGTAAAGAATGATAAAACAAAAACCTCAATGAGCCTACACATATCTAGTGACAGATACACCACAGCTATTCTAAATTATTCAAGCTTTCTCAGACTTCTAGCAGGAGAAAAATAATTCATGTCTGCTCTCTTTATTCTACTCTCATATCATGGCAAAGAAGCAAACAAAAAGTATAGCACCCCCCCTCAAAAATTATAATAATCACCCATATAGAGAAGAACTTTGTTAGTATATGTGGTCTTTTTAGAACCATCTAATTTCTGGGAACTAGCTTTGAAAGTAGAAGTTAAAAATGATTTTGCAATACTTATGGATGATTGTCTTACTTTCCTTTTGCTAGCATTCTGCTGGCAAAAAGCCAGTAAAACAGTTTTTTAATTATCCAGGACATCAAAAACATATAACCTTTTAGATAAGCTGTTACTGCAATTTGGCAGCAATAATACTAGGGTCAAAAGTAACAAAGAAAATTAATCTTCAAATAAGCAAACCTCAAAAGAACAGGTTTGTGTATTGAGAATAATTAATAACTTGTTTAGGCAAATATTACTGAAATGTGGTTTATGGAAAAGGAACTGACACTCTTCAGAGGCTAGAGATCCTAGTATTTAACAAGCTACCATTTAGTGGACGGCTGGCTGGCTACCCTGTAGGCATGGCAAAAGTTTGTTCACATGTTATTATGCAACATTTAGACAATATCTTACTACCATGTAGTTCAGCTGAATCAGTCCAGTTGGAAATTGTAGCAGCATTTAGATTACCTGGCCACATGTGAAATTAAGGCTTTTTCAATCTCTAATTTTCACTTGCTATGTTTTGACACAGATGTTCTTGGAAAGCCTAAATTATTTATGATTTGACAATATTTAGTGGAGTGAACCCCTCCCCTTTCACTTTTAACCATTGATTAAGATTGCATTACCATATAAGATATTTAGCTTGTCATTATAACAAATAATATATGTTATCACACAGAAAATAAAATATTAGTATATTTTGGACAGTTAGGATGGAACTTTTCTACACCCCTTTTATATAATATATATTGTATACTTTTCTTCTTTGCAGGCAGTTCTTATTGTAAAGTTGAAATTCAATTTCTACTGTGGAAATCATTTTACTATGCAACTAATCACACGTGATTATGATTCTAGAAAATAGCAATTTAAGTTGTGTAAACTAAAACAGCAGATTTGTTCTTAAGTCATATTATAAAGACCTTTAAAGTATAGCACAAACATTTATTAAAAAGAAAAAAGTTTGCTCAAAGATTACACTCTGAAACTTTATCATATTCTTTTGAGTTTCCTCCATGAAAAATAAGAAATCAGTCCATCGGAATTTCTTTTTTTAAAATTTCCAGCTCACTCTGTCTAGCCCAATGTTTGGATAGCTTCTTCCCCATCCTCCTAACTGAATGACACCACAACTATTTTATTTTAGAAGAAAATAAAGTTTTTAAAATTTTAATCAAAAACCTTAAAGGTTATATACATAGGATCTAATGAATTCAGGTAACAAATGACTTTTAAGCAAAAATAATTGTCATCATTATGACATTATTTCAGCTACTTTCTATGAATCAGGTAATGTAGTACTTAATTATCTCTAGTATGAAACATAAAATGAAACAATTTAAAAGCACTTCTACACGTATTTTTATTACTTATAAACATATTGTGAATTTTAGTAAATAGAACCAGTGGCTGAGGAGGAACAGAAGTTAATGTTGAGTGTGTGTGCATCCCCACAGAAGAAAACTAAATTCTTAATTATTGTAAATTTGTATTCAAAAATAAAATGCTAAATTCTGGTCAACTGTCATTCCCATTAGTACTTGGTACTTTCTAAACCAAGGAATCTTTAAATGCTTGACTCATGTATTTAAGTTAGCTGACAATCTATGCTTAGAATTCCTGAAAAACTAACACAAAAATGTCTCCTTTAAAGGTGACTTGGAATTTATCACTGAGATAATGCCAAATGGTCACTAAAGATGTTTAAACGTCATTGTCTACTGTTTTCAGTGTGCCATTACAAAGTCTTGGGTTCCTTTCACATAATAATCAATAAGGGATGAATAAGTCTCACCACTTGAAAATAACTGAGAAAGGAAGTCAACAGAGTAATCTGGCTTTGCTGGGTTGATTCAAGAAGAGACACAATATCCACCCCTCCTCTTCTAGTTCTCTCTCCCTCAACCAGCCCACACCCCTGCAAGAAAGAAATAAGGGAAAGAGAGAAAGAAGGAAAGAGAGAGGGAAGAGGCAAGAACAAAATCTAGGGATCCCAGGCATAATTTACACTGAGGAGAAAACGTCACACTGTAGGATAAACTATAGCCATGGAAACAGACTTATGACTTTTACTTTGAAAATAAAAGAATGACAATGAAATTTGTGTGAGGTCTGTGTGAATCCAGACCCAGATGTTTACAATGCTGTAGTAGTATGGCTCTGCAATATGAGAGGTTTCAGAAGAAACAGTACAACAGGACACCACGAAGCAGTGCATACGCTATTGACAATGCAGACATGAGCATCATGTTACCAAGAGAGAAGGCAGGCAGAAGACAAATAGCAGCGGTGGTGCCTGAAAAGCTAACTTCATGGACTGCAATCACTCAAACTAACGTAAGGGACGCAAAACAAAACAAAACAAAAATCAAAACCAGAAAAATGCTTTTCCCTCATATCTAGAGGTGCTGGGGTGAGGGGATGGGGGTGGGGAGAGGGTGGAATTGATTTTTCTTTCTTAAATAAAGTTCCCACAAAGCACCTATAATTGACAGCGGATGATTATTCTCAGCTTGAGGAGCCTGTCCCAAACTCTTAACAAGATTTCCAGGGAAAAGAAACAAAATGTGTTTACTTGAGCCTTTTCCAGAAGGAAGGAAAAAGAGCTCTTTGGAGGAGGTGGGAAGGGCGGTGGAGAGAGAAAAGGGGCATCTTTGCACTGCAACAACTCTCTTGAGCGCCCTGCGTGGTTCGGCGAGTGACAGACTGGAGGGAAGAGGTGGATAGGGCGGCAAGGGGTGGGGGATGTGGAGGGAGCGCGCTTAGGGGAGGGGATGCGGCAGCACAATGTATACACGGGGCGGGGGGGTCGGGTGGTGAATTAGTGTGAAAGTATTCCACTTAATCATTTTACAGGGGTTGGGGACGTAAATATTTAGCTGGCCACATCTGGAAGAGATTTTTCCCCCCCGTGTGGGCTGGGGGTGGATAATTGGAAGGAGGGGAGCACGCATTTGTTACTTACTGTACGGGCAGTTCTCCTTCTTGGTCCCGCTGACCTTCCCGTTCTTTTCAATCTTGAGAAAGTACTTGGTGAAAGAGAATAGCTTTCTCCAGCGGACATCTCCTTGAAGGTGATTGTAGCTCCGCACATGCCTTCCCGCGCTGGAAGGAGAGGAGAAGGAGGAGGAAGAATTGGTGGTCTCTGGTGACACCATGTCCTGGCCAAGGGCTTGGCAGGTGACAGGGACGGAAGATACCAAGAACAGCAACAAAAAGCAGCAGCAGCAGCAGCCTGGCAGGTGGGGAAAGGCTGAGGCACAATGTGTCAGTATCCATTTCCACATTGTACTGAAACTCTCGGCACTGGAAATTGTCTCATCAGAAGGAACATACTGGAAGGGTAAGACCTGGTGCAAGGCAAGGAGAGAGTTCGAGGTGGTGGCTGCTGGTTAGCTCCCTCTGGGCGCGGATCTGGCCAGAAGTGAATGCACCAACATCCATAACTCCTTGGAAAAGCCGGCTGCCTCCCCTCGCTCCTTTCTGGGATCCGCTGCCTGCGCCTCTAGAGCCTCCCGGTGAATGGTGGACGTGGGTGGCCGCAGAAGCAGGAGCTGGTGGTGGCGGTGGTGGTGTTGGTCACAGCGCTCTTCGCTCCCCCAGGAGTTACTTTGTTCTCTTCTTTACTCCTTTCTTCACCATGTTAGATGCCAAAAAGGTCTGAAAAACAGATGACAGCACGGTGAACAAAACCCAAGGGAGGTGGGGTGGGGAATAGGGGGAGATATTTGCGCCCCTCTGCGGTTGGCACCTTCTGGCCTCTCTCTGCGGAGCCCCAGCCTGCGAGCCGCTTCTACAAGTGTATCCCTTTGGAGTTGTCAGAACTGCAGGCAGCTACCCAGTCGCCGTTGTTTTCTTCCCTCTCTTCCCTTCTGTTTTTAGTGGTGCCTGCCGATTTGAAGGCTGCCGAAAGCCACTTTTTGTTTTGGGGGACGGCGGCTGATGTTTTGTATGGCCCTATCCCCCACCCCCTTCCTTTGGAAAGTCCGCTTGTAAACAGGTTGAAACCTGGAGTCTAAATGTCAGTGATTCTAAGCCAGAGGTGGGCTCTGCCTCTGCTGGTCAAACCTCATTTGCAGGGGTGGAGAAGAGGGGGGAGGGGGTCAACCCGCGGTGGGACATCTGAAACCCTACGCTGCTGGGAACGCCAGGGAGAGGGAGGGTGAAAGGGGCAGAGAAGGGGGTGGGGGAGCAGGGGAGCGAGGAGAGAGCGCGATGCTTTGCATCCAGCTTGGGGGCTGCCAGGTCCCTTCCTTGCAGCTGCTGTTGCGGCCGCAGCCGCCGCCGGCGCCTCTAGCTCTGGCAAATTCGTTGCTAAAGCGTCCTGCTCGCAGCGCGGGCCACGGCGCTGACGGTATCCTCCAGCTTTCCGAATTTTGCTGTCTTCCAGCCTGAACTAATCCCTTCTGGGGAGCCCCTTTCTCACTTGTTTTCCAGCGTAGGATCTCCTTCCCCCACCCCCATTTCTTTTGGCAGTGAAGTACTTGAGAGCCACCTGGAGCCTGATGCTTGGCTGACTTTTTCCCCCTTCTCACTCCCAGAAGAGGAGAGGGCTGGGAGAAAGCAGAAGATGCTGAGGATTTTAAACCCTCCAGAGCAGCAGATTATAAACTGATCGGAGCGAGCACAGAAAAGGAAGACATAATTAGCGTCCTTTCCTCCTCTGCTGCCAGCTTCCAAGGAGGTCTCCTCTTTAATGAATCACTGATTTCTCGCTTCCGTTGCTGAAGTAAAAAGTTCACACTTTGGCCCTTTCTGCCTTTTAAGCTCAGGGAGATTTATCGTCACCCTTAAAAGTTGCCTCTCTTTTGGCGCAAATGAAATCAGGGACCCAAATAACCGATTTCTAATTGCTAACATGAGCCCTTCACTGAATCACGCGTGCACTTCAAAGCAAACGCACTTTATGGCGATCGCAAAGATTTTACCATACAATTTGGTTGAATACCCTGCTGTCTGTTTTCTTTTCTATGCAATTTCCTTTGCACTTAGTCAGAAAGTGGAGGTTTTTTATTTTTTTATTTTTTTAATTTTATCTGTCTTCACATTTTATGTTTAAAGGGCTCTGTTTTACAATATCACTGCTCTAGGAGTCTTCCTCTCCTTTTCACACTCTTTAACGCCACTCCAACTCCCCCCTTGCTCGCAGAAACTAGCTCACAGCCCAGGTATTGACAGAACTAAGTCCAAGGCTAGGAAGCCTTTGCCAAGAGTTAAGAGGCACAAAAAAGGAAATACTGTGATAATCCATTCCAATCTGAATAAGAAACAACTCCTAGAGGACCACTTCTTTAAGAAGGACTCTAAACCAGAGAACGTTTAACTAGAAGGAATGCCTAAACATGTACTGGAATGAAGTATCTATGTCACATAGTACAGTTAGACATTTGTATTTTGTTGAAGCCCATGAAATTGCCAACATTTTAAGGTTTTGTACCTACAAAAATGGTAATTTCATATGTTTCAAACTAAAGTTAGGCTGCCAGTGTAAGATAGAGAAACACTTCAAGATGAACTGGGAGTTTAACAACAGCAACTGTAATTTGGAGGGAACTAATTAGAAGTCTGTGTTCACACAAGCCAGGATCCCTATAATGTGTGTTTGACCTCCATGTTGGTGGTGAACCAGAGAAATGCAAAGAAATAAAAAAATAGCTCTAGAGATGAGCATTAGGAATGATTGCTCAATTAAGTATTTAGTGACTTGAAAAATGAGTTTACATGAATGTTCTTATATTTTTCTGTGCATTCAAATCCTTTGAAATAGAATCATTTAATACTAGAATCAGGATTTTACTTGCATTAGTTATAATTCATGCCGTGCTTATTTAGAAGAGTTCAACAATGTGGTGAACATTGCAATAGGGTTCTTAAGTTTAATATAATTAGCTGTAATTTCTGTAGATATTAATTGGAAAGTTAAGCAAATAAAGAGCATCCATCAAACAAGTCTTTTTCTTTAGGATACTGAAAAATTAACCAACAGTGCTAATTTCAATGTTTTAGTTCACAGTTTTATACCTGAGAGGACAAATGCCTGAAAGACAATGTAGTGTTTCCCGTGGATTTGCATTTCAGGCCAATGGTCCAGAAGAATCCAAATGTTTGAATTTACAACTAATTAAAACTACATTTTTAAAAAATTATGTTTGGTGAAACCAAACAATAAAGATTCTGCTGTGAAAAGTTACAAAACACAGGAAGTTATTATTTTGGGGTTTCTCTACAATAGGAACCAACACTATTGATGCCATTTTGGGGTTTAAAAATTTTTGTTAAACTCACCCTAGACATGTGCCCCTCCAATCCAAAGCGAGTCTCTTTCTCCTTCTCTCACACACACAATCTATCAACTTTATGTTCCAGTAGAAGAAGCTATTCAGATCTTTTAGCTAGGAGTTTCTCTTTTTTTCTGTCTAAAATGAGGGAAAAGATGTCTTTAAACTTTCATATTAAAATCTGTTTGCAGCAGGTGCAGTGTTTGAAAGTTCTAGAGCCCCTTCGCCACTCTTCTGTACAGCGTGATGACAAGAGGGCATTTACAAAACAGCCCAAAGGAAAAGCTGACATAGCTTTTTAGATTATATCTCATTCTTCTTTTTCTTTTCTGTACAGCCTTTCTTTTACAGCACAGCTGAATCCCTAAATACCCCACTACTTTGCATTGTTAGGTCACCTCTTAGGTTAGCCCGAGAAAGCCTGAGAAAAGTTCCACAGGAAAGATGCACTATTTAACGGAATTCAATCTCTCCCAATAGATTTGAATCGCTAACATAAATGTATGAATGTAGATTATATCTCTGTAATGAGGCCTGAATCATTCTCAGTTACTTCAAAGGACTGAAATTCTACCTTCCTTTTTTAGCTGCAATAATCAGGTCTTAATGGGTTCCTTTATTAATTGTTTCTTTGCTAGAATTGAAAAGGACAGTACAAGCTTCAGATTAGAGTGGTACCTACTAATTCTCAAAGGCTGTTTTTCTCTTTTATCCAACCTCAGGAAGGCATACTTTATTTCTATGCCCTAAACATATCTACTACTATTAGGCTAGCTCTGTATTGACAGAAATAGATGCAGCCTTTTGTTACATGTGATGTCTTGAGAAATGATTGAGGCTTTTTAAAACGAGACCATGGCTGCAGCCATTGAAGAATCCTAAAACCTGGCTCTTCAACCTCAGAGAAGCAATCAGTGTACGTACTAGCAGATCCTTCAGTAGCTATTCTGTTTTAGCAGTTTACATTGTACATATGTATTGCTTGGATTCTTTATGTTGCTCAGCACTATCTGTGGTTCAGTTATAAGATGTGTGCCCTATTATGAATGATGTTATTGGCAGTGTCAGTACGCTGCTTCAAATAATGCTCAGTCAGGTCAAAAGTCAGCCAGGCTGTTCAAAAATTTAGACATATGGAGGCCTAATTTTTTCAGCCTGTGGTGCAGGCCTTGTGAGTATGTGTCGCAGCCCATTTTTCCCTCCTGGACACAGATCATGCCAGTTTTAAGGCATTGTTAGGACTTGTGCACTTCCCAGGCTGCAGCTAGAAATGATGCTCATAATCACTCACATTTGGATGAATGAAGGAGTGATACCTTATTGTTTTTAAACGAGGAGCTTCAAGTGAACAGAAAAGCGGTGTTATCCCATAGATAGTAGCATGCAGTGCTTCAGAACCAGTGGGAATCTTAGCTATAACTGAATCCAGCACATGCATTTTATAGATGAATAAATTGATTCCCAGGTCACTCCATGGTAGACCAGAATTTGGAACTCCTGTGATAGACCTTAGGCTACTACCCTAATTTTTGCAACATCTGTCCTGTTTATGTTCTTTTTCTTCCTTCCTACTCCCCTTCTTACCATTGACCACTTAGTATTCTAATATGTCTAAGGTGGCAGAGTAGAAATGATAAAAAGGTTTAGGGGTTTAGCTATGGAAAATCAATTACATCTTCGCTGCAATAGATAAACCAGGGAAAAGTAATAAAGTAGTGTTGAATTATTAAATACCAGCTGGTTAGCCAAAATAAATATTGATATATGCTTGGCAAAGGGGGATATTTTATCAATGCTTCTGAGATGAACACAATCAAAAAGCAATGAATACCCCATATTTTCAGGAGAGCCAATTGTTTAATAGAATCTGAATTTATAAGTTCGCCTCTAGAAAATTGATGAGACTTTCTAGAAAAGTAGATTTATAATTTGATCTGGGTTTCTGTGTTCTAATATTAATTTCCCATAAAGTATTGTGATATTTCAAAGCATAGGTTGCTTAAACAATTTTTTTTCAAAGTTTGAAACCAAGGTTAATTTTCTGTTCCCTCACTTTCAAACAGACTTAATGATCTGTTATTAGGAAGGAAATATGGCCAAGATGATAACAATGATCTTTTGAAACAAAAAAAGAATTCTGTATAAGATTGTTTAAAACATATAATAAATCACCACAAATTCCTGGAACTGAACTTTGCATCTTGGCAGTAAACACAACAAACGTATTTTCACAAAGCTGCTGTTTGTCCCCTCCCAGCTGATGGTAAACAGGACCTTCCCTTGACAAAGTTGTGAAGTCTCTGAAGAGTTTTGTTTGTTTTCTGTGTTCCCAGCTGTCCTTTTGTGGATCTGTGCCTCTTTCTACTTCAGGCCCTCTAGGCATCTTAGTCCTATTACCTATGGCAAAATTGTAAACATTCTGATATTAGTCATTTATGTTTGTGAATTAACTGGCAGATTATAATATTTTCTTTAAAGCTGTGATGTCATGCCAACAGACATTTAACTGGTTTTTATTCAATTAATGTTTATTGAGTGCTTACTATATAGTAGGTAAGCATTGTGAATGGTGCAAGGTTTTTTCCAATAAATACGGCACAGAAACTTACCCCATAAAGAACGTGCATACATGATTGAATACATGAATTTAGGTAGTTTATCATTAATGATGGGCAAAATATGGTTATCTTAGGACTCAGAAACCAGGTATTGGAAAGAGAGATATTGAAAAAGAAAGAAGAACCATTGAAAATTGTTTTTGATTTTCCTTTTCTCTACGACAAGAGCTAAGGGAAAATGTGGCTTCTATTTATGGCTTCATGAACGATTAAGACTTGATTTTTTCCTGTTTTATGTCCCTGGCACAATCCTTTTTTCTAGGTTTTCCTTACTGTGTGGAGATTTTGGTTGCATCCTTTGTGTTGACCCAACCTGACTTCCTTTCCTTTACTCCTGCTCCCAGACTCCTAGAAGCATATTTCTTGCTTTCTAGCTTATTATTTTAATTACTTCCCAACAAAATTTCCCTAATCCTTTTGCTGTCCTCTGTGCCTCTTATTATGAAATATAATTTGACCTGATGTCTTTTCTATTTGAAAAATTTTGCCTCTGTTAAGCAAATTTTGACAAAAAGAAAGTATTTTCTATGAATTAGTATTAGCAGAAAATGTAATGTGTTGGGGGCAATGCAATATTTGCTATACTGGATTTCCTTTGATTGGCCCCCAGATCCATTCTTTCCCCTTC